TTTATCTTATTGCGTTAGTCATTTGCATATTTATTCTTGACCTTTGCTTTGTCGTAGATGGTACTTATGTATGTGTATGAGGGCTATGTCAAACAAGAAACACTGGCATGTCAGTGAAACATTTTTCTTAGGCATAACAAGTGCTCCAACAAATTGCAAAACATTTAATAACAGTCCATACATAATGCAAGATATTCATTTATGAATCTATGTTTGGAAATATATTACTACATTTTGAGTTTTTTTTTTTTAAGAAAATATTTGCTTATTTTGCACCATCTACTTGCACTTCAAATAACATATGCATTTATATACATATACTTATGTGTGTACTTATACTTGCATTTTGCGTGCCTACACATTTATGCATGTGGGTATGTATATAACATGTACATGTGCCACCGTTGCAAAATAAACTAAGTATTCGCTTCAAGGCTTCGATGCGCCACCAAGTGTTGCTCTTCTGCTCCTGCATAATGCACCAGCGAAGTACTGATTGTGGCTGAAATATAATATTGTTGATGCGCCACTGAAAGCAGACAACCAAATAGCAAAAAAAAAATAAGTTAAGCACCCACACAGTGTCGCTGGCTGTTGCGTGTGCGGCGTACTGGTTGTTGCTCCTGCTTTGCTGCATTTTCAGGATATGCGATATCATTGATGTTTTCCGTAAATTTTCCGCATTGAATAGTTTAAGCAGATTAAAAACAACAGTACATAATTGTCCACACTAAGGCGAGCCCTGAAGCGTACATCAAAGTCAAATTCATGGCGATGGCGTCGATGACAATGCCACTAAGTAGAGGAAACAACAAACAACCCGTTGATGGCGCTAGAGAGGCCTTGCCTTTGTCTATACTTTTATTACTTTATTGCTCTTTTTGTTTCTGGCTTCTTTACAACTTAATTATTGTTATTTTAACTACTACGCCGGGGCCTCAGGTGTGCAATTGAACTCAATTGTGGCTGGTTTAATTACAAAGGATGGAGGACGCGAACGTGACAGTGGAGCGAAAACTTATGTATTTGTTGAGTGGTGTATGCTTGCTGCAGAAAATGCTTGATTGGCGCACATTTATGCGTTTGTGTTTGTACACATGGTGGTTTATGGAAATAGAAACAAAACAATATAAATGTATGTATGAATATGTACAAGCATATACACATACTATATGTATGTACTATTAATGAAATTTATTATTAAACATTACGATATATAAACATACATATACAGAACTAAACCGATACCTCTTTCTATACAAAGTATGTCGACGAAAAAATATTATCAATGCCCTCAGTTTTCAGTGAAATAAAAGGAAAACGAAAGAGTTCCAAAAAAGTAATTTGATTAACTAATTATATTGCCAATATTCTAGCTTACTTAAAATTCTCGCCTTAAGATTTTTCTAAATAGTGAACAGAATACTCGTACTTTTTTGTAAAAAAAATATTTAGAACTGCCCGCAAAGCCTATGAAGTTTTCCATACACCTACTTCATATGTGGAAAAAAAAACAACTTTTCGTATAAATCGTACATAGCTGTTGAAAATCAATATCTTTCAATCGGCAGCTTATTATTGGAAATCTTTTTTGATGAACGTTTTCAAAAATGCCTTTCATTTTATATCCATACTGCGTTGTTTTATTTAAATTTGGTATAATCGAAAATAAGTGGCAATCTTATGTGACAACTCTCAAGCAAAGCTAAGTATGCATAACTGGGCTATAAGAAATGTGATTCAAGTTGAACATTTGAGAATAAATTCATATGTATGGCAGTGGCTGAACGTGCAGAGGTGCTTGCTATTATTTGTTGGCTTCCAGCAGGTTCGAGAGTACGAATGCCGTCAGCGTGACACATAATTTTTATTTTTTTCTGTTTTTGATTTTTCTTAATTACAAAAAAGCTTCTGTGAAGTGCAGAACCAAATCAAATTATGAAGAAACTTGATTCAAGTTGAATAGTTGAAGGCACATTTATAAAGCGACTGTAGCTGAGCAGAGATGCTTGCTGTTATTTGCTATCATTCAGAAGGTGCGGTTTCCCATCACGTCAGAGGCAACTTGTTAAAAAGTAAATACAAGTTTTTGTTTTGTATCTCCGCATTTATTAAAAAGCATCTGTGAAGTGCAGAACATTAGTGTATTCAAACGAAAAAATCTACAACCGAAAGTTTGGTTAATGTAAAGTGCGGTTACTATTACCAAAACATCAACCAAGGCACTGTTAATATTAACCAAAAATCAAGTTTGGTACTATTAACCAATTTTTGGTTGATTTTTTTCTCAATGTGTTATGTTTATTTTCTAGCACGAAAAACTAAATAAATGCACGATTTAAAAGAGGTGGCAAATTTATTCCAAAATATTTCATTTGATACGGATATTAGGATGTTTCTTTTTAAAATTTGTAACCGATTTCGAATACGAGTATTCTCGGATATAATACCTATCTATAGTTAACCTTAAGATGCAAATATTGTCTGTATACAGGGTTCCATCAAAATCGTTAGAGCCGTGATCTCGATCTAAGTAGTCTTCATTTTGTACAATTGAGTATTCATTAGGGTACGTTCACACAGGAAACGGAGCTGAACTGAGCGAAGCGGTTCCGAGATGAGTGAAGCTTTAAAATTTCTTAGGGCGCGTTCACACAGAAAAACGAGCGACGCCAGCAAAGTGGAACAAATCGAAGCGGACCTTTTCTCATGGACTCGGCTGCAAAGGTACCACAAAACTTAACGTCAATGAAAAGCAGCAAAAATATTTGATAAATTTTATTCAAAAGATTAGTTTTAGAATTCGTTTTTATTTGAATACAGTATATTTTGCTTAGCTGCCCATCCTTCTTTGCACGAAAAACTTGTACGCTTAACCGAAAAAAGCACAGTACCTACCAGGTTGATCGACCTTTGCCCGGAGTGTATATACTTTTTAAAGCGTTCAAGATTTAGATAGCTTTAAAAAAATATTTTAGAAAAAAAAAATGGATCTCGATATCTATTAAGTAAATTTCTTACTCCAAAATGTATTTTTATCTTGATACGCGATTTTGACCTTTAAACGACGATATATATACGAGGCGTTCCATACCAAAACGTACGGGGGTCACACGTTATGGGTTTGATTTGTTTCATATAAGATAAATGCACAAGGAAAATAACAAAAACGTCAATATGCAAACCTATGTATGGCTACATATAAGATCTGCTCCAATGTATCCTCTACAAAATTCTTTCTCAAGGTATGAATGACTAGCAAAGACAGTTGACACTTCTAAACTACAGTTCAATTATTTACTTGTACAGTTAATTTGGTTTCAGTTATTTAATACTAACATATAAAAATTTGCCTGCCAAACACAGCTTCGTCTATTTAGAAAAATAATTATAAATAATCATGTAATTAAAAATAATCAAGAAAATAAAAACAATCAAATAATTAAAAATAATCAAACAATTAAAAATAATCGCCAAATGTATAGAACGTTTTATGTATAGAAGGTGGCACACTTCACAAGTCCGTTATAATAATATATATATTTATAATATCGCACAATTCGATCTAAAGTGCGATCAAGTAAATAAAAAAAAATGATGACGATTTTTTGCTTTAATCAATTCCTGGGACTTACTACCAGGCAATGAAAATATTTTTGAAGTGAAACTTCTTTAGCGGCGGTTGGTTGGTTGGGAGTAAACTGGAAAATTCGACGGAAATTGCACATGGAAGTTGCACACGCAAATGGTTGAAACAAGTGCTTCTTGAGTGTAAGCATATGTTAGTGGTAACACTTAGAAAAAGACCAATACAAGAATCAAAGTAAAGGTTAGTACTTACATATATAAATAAAGAAAAGGATAAAGGTAAAAATAAAGGCAAAGATGAAGGGGAATATGTAGATGAAGAAAATGATAAATATAAAAGTAAAAGCAAAGATAATTCGAATTTGTTATCGAATTTGTTATCGATTTTGTTATCGATTTTGTTATCGATATTTTTATCGGTGTCGTTATCGATATCTTTATCGGTTTTGGTTATCGATTTTGCTATCGGTGTTTTTATTGATTTTAGTATCGAATTTTTATCGATTTTGTTATCGATAATTTTATTGGTTTTGTTATCGATATTTTGATGGATGTTACTATCGATTTTTTATCGATAGAGTACAAAGATAAAGGAAAACAGAATAACATAAATGTAATTAGAATGAACAAGGTAGAGTAAGGGATCTAGATAGATAAAAGGCAAAAGATATAACATTAAGCAAAAGCAGATGCATTGTACATTGGTTATGTCACAAACATGACCTGCAGCGTAAGTTTAACTTCTCCAGTGTAGCCCAGACGCAAATCCTTTTTTTCTTCAACTAGCAGCGAGAGCGTAAACACAAAATTGGGATAAAAAATAAAAATAAAAATAAATAATTACACTTTCTTGAACCATTTGCTGAGATAGGGGGTTCTTCATTTGAATTCTAAAATAGGGTGTGCTTGCTAAATTTGTTGAGAGAAAGAGTTTTCGAACCCGCTGCCGACATAGGTCGATTTTACACTCAGCCGTCGAAATATGAATTTGGATGATAGAATAAAAGGTTTTTATTTTATTTGATTTTTATTATGTTTTCTGTCCATATATTTGATTTTATTGGATTTCATTTCATCCTATTTCATTCCATATTATTTAATTTTTTGTTACTCTAGTATTTCTTACGTCCTTGCCTCCTGGCATAATTATCTAATTGCAGCAGAAAAAAATTAAACCCTAAATAAAACTTCGAGTCTTGAACTTTCAGGAAGACTCAGTTGATATTTCGCTGCATCTATTCAAACATTTCTTCACAGCTAAATATGTACTTTACTTTAAGCCTGTATGTCGTCAGTCCTTCTGCGAATTCACCACAAAAAGAGAGATTTGGACACATGCCCACAGCTGTTGAATTCTCTTAGCAGTAAGACTGTTAGTTCAGAGAGAGAGAGTTGTTGGAAGCGAGTAGCACTATGATGAATGAGCTCCACCAAATGGTGCATATAAAATAGCCGGGCTGTTGCTGGTATCAATCAGTAGCCGATAAGGAACGAACAAGGAAAGTACTAAACAGTAGAAAGTTCCACAGTTATTTCGCAAAAGGAGAAACGCGCGCGCCTTCGACTCTTCGCTCTATTCTATGCTCCTTAAATTGCCAACTTGCATTAAAGTTCAAAGTGGTTGTTGTTATTTAAAGGATAAATCATCGTTACACACATTTATATGTACATACATATGCACGTGTACATTATAAATACAACGTGAATACATACAAGGATATAATCACAAACATATTCACTAAACGCCTCCACTCCTTGCAACGGGGGAAGTGCGCCATGTGGGTAGGTTGTGTGGTACGCCGCAACGGTGTACGCCATGGAAAGTGCTGTATAGGCGAGTAAGAAGGTGGCACAAGTGTATTCAGTAAGCGACTGCAAAACTGAAATATCATTCCAAAGCAAAATGTGGAGAAAATAAAAAGTGAAAAAAAACAAAGAAACGAAAACAAACCAAAGGATAGTGCGATACCTTCTAGCAAGGACTGGTGAAGTTTTGTGCTTTTTTTTTGCCTGCACGCTGGTAGTAAGCGATAGCAAAAGCAGCCACAGCAAAGGAGTAAGTGAAAGTTTCTCTGTTGTAGTGTGGGCAGCGGCAGATACAATTTCATTGTGTATTCATTTG